CCCAGCTACTCAGGAGGCTGAGGCAGGAGAATTGCCTGAACCCAGGAGGCGGAGGTTGCGGTGAGCCGAGATCGCGCCATTGCACTCCAGCCTGGGTAACAAGAGCGAAACTCCGTCTCAAAAAAAAAAAAAAAAAAGCAAAAAGGAAATATGACAGACTTCCACAATCCTCATCTCTGTAAATGAGCCCATAATTGGTAACTATGGTTTCTTCTCCAAGTATCCGAAATCCTTGGGATCCGACAATTGGGATTTTTACCTGGTGAGGTAAGGCAAAGTGTCATTCCTGAAGGATCTGCACTGTCCTGCCTTCTTTTAGTTACTACAGTTTCCCAGTAACATTTATTATTCAGACACACCATTCTCACCCCCATGGTATGGCCGCAACCCAGTTTCCTCCTGGTCATAAGGATCAATAACTCCAGCCAACAGAGTAACCCCATTTTCTGCATTTGGTTCAGTGGCCTAAAAAGTCCAAGATGACCAGGTGGCAGTCTCAATTTCCAATTCAATGGAATCATTGTTTTGTCCCTGATGGAAGAATTCCTCCCTTGAGGACTAAGGCTTCCAAGTCATCAGAGCTCAAACTTGCCAAGACGAGAGACAAAAAATCCACAAGTGGGTTATTTGGTAGAATAGTGAGGCTGGGCGCAGTGGTTCACGCCTGTAATCCCCACACTTTGGGAAGCTGAGGTGGGAGCATGGTATGAGGGCAGGAGTTTAAGAATAGCCTAGGCAACGTGGTGATACCCTGTCCCCAAAATAAAAAGAAATACAAAAATTAGCCAAGTGTAGTGGCACATGCCTGTAGTCCCAGCTACTCGGGAGGCTGAGGCAGGACAATCGTTTGAACCCGGAAGGTGGAGGGTGCAATGAGTTGATGTTGCGACATTGCACTCCAGCCTGGGCCACAGATCGAGACTCCATCTCAAAAAAAACAAAAAGAAAAAAACAGGCCAGACACGGTGGCTCACATCTGTGATCCCAGCACTTTGGGAGGCCAAGGCGGGCAGGTCATGAGGTCCGAAGTCCGAGACCAGCCTGCCCAGCATGGTGAAACCCCATCTCTACTAAAAACCCCAAAAATTAGCCAGACATGGTAGTGCACACCTGTAATCCCAGCTACTCAGGAGGCTGAGGCAGGAGAATTGCTTGAACCCGGGAGGCAGAAATTGCAGTGAGCTGAGATTGTGCCATTATTGCATTCCAGCCTGGGTGACAAGAAGGAAATGCTGTCTCAAACAAAACGAAACAAAACAAACAAACAACCCTAAACCATTATTTCTGGGTGTGATCTCTCAAGTGATGCCTTAACTGAGTTTTTTGTTGTTTTTTTTTAGACGGATACTTGCTCTGTCACCCAGGCTGGAGGGCAGTGGTGTGATCTTGGCTCACTGCAACCTCTGCCTCCCAGATTCAAGCAATTCTCCTGACTCAGCCTCCAGAGCATCTGGGATTACAGGCATGTGTCACGATGCCCAGTGAATTTTTGTATTTTTAGTGGAGATGGGGTTTTACGTGTTGGCCAGGCTGGTCTCAAACTCCTGACCTCAAGTGATTTGGCCTCCCAAAGCATTGGGATTACAGGCGTGAGCCATCACATCTGGTCTTAACTGAGTCTTTAATAAGTCATTGCACCACACTAGGGGTCATGTTGTGGATTTTCTCTGCTGTCTATTTTTTTTTTTTTTTTTAAATAAAGATGGGGTTTCACCATGTTGGTCAGGCTGGTCTTGAACTCCCGACCTCAGGTGATCCACCCGCCTTGGCCTCCAAAGTGCTTGGATTACAGGCGTGAGCCACCGCGCCTGGCCTCCTCTGCTGTCTAAAGATACCACATGTAAGGCAGCAGCTACAACTACAGTCACCGTCTAAATGAGTTTCCCATAGTTCACAGTCATTCTCTAAGATCCGTCCAACCAGCACATGCCAAACCTGCTCATTCAAGTCTTTTTTTTTTTTGAGACAGTTTTGCTCTTTGGCCCAGGCAGGAGTGCAGTGGTGCAGTCCCAGCTCACTGCAGCCTTCGCCTCCCAGGTTCAAACGATTCTCCTTCCTCAGCATCCAAAGTAGCTGAGATTACAGGCGCCCACCACCACACTCAGCTAATTTTTTTTTCCAGGTGGAGTCTTGCTCTGTTGCCCAGGCTGGAGTACAGCTGTGTGATCTTGGCTCACTGCAACTTCCGCCTCCTTGGTTCAAGCAATTCTCCTTCTTCAGCCTCCCCAGTAGCTAGGATTACAGGCACGTGCCACCACACCCACCTAATTTTTGTATTTTTAGTTGAGACAGTTTCACCATGTTGGCCAGGCTGGTCTTGAACTCCTGACCTAGTGATCCACCCACCTCAGTCTACCAAAGTGCTGAGATTATAGGCGTGAGCCACTGTGCTTGGACCCATTCAAAGTCTTTGAGGGTGGCACTACTCTCTGCAATTCTCTAGGGTTGTAATGTTGTTTCTTGTTAACTGTCTTTACAGGAAGTGGAAGTTCCAACGACTTTCCCGTAGCCCTTTCCACCATGATTCTCTCGCTCCATGGGTGGGAGAGCCAGTGTGGGGATTTGTCAATTGCCATAGATGGCTATCCCAATTATACGCTCAGGAATTTGGAAATAACCACAGGGGGACCACGGATCAACTGAGCCCTCTGTGAGCCTGAGCTAACCCTCCGTCTAGCACCTGACCATCTTTTTTTTTTTGAGAGGAAGTTTTGCTCTTGTCACCCACACTGGAGTGCAATGGCTCGATCTCAGCTCACTGCAATCTTTGCCTTCTGGGTTCAAGTGATTCTCTTGCCTCAGCCTCCTGAGTAGCAGGGATTACAGGCACCTGCCAACATGTCCAGCTAATTTTTTGAATTTTTAGTAGAGATGGGTTTTCACTGTGTTGACCAGGCGGGTCTCGAACTCTTGACCTCAAGTGAGCCACCTGCCTCAGCCTTCCAGAGTGCAGAGATTCCAGGCATGAGCCACCGTACCCGGCCTGACCATGTTTAAACCCCTACTTTTGGCCAGGCGCGGTGACTCATGCCTGTAATCCCAGCACTTTGGGAGGCCGAGGCAGGCAGATCACGAGGTCAAGAGATCAAGACCATCCTGGCCAACATGGTGAAACCCTATCTCTACTTAAAAAAATACAAAAATTAGCTGGGTGTGGTGGTGCATGCCTGTAGTCCCAGCTACTCGGGAGGCTGAGGCAGGAGAATTGCTTGAACCTGGGAGGCAGAGGTTGCAGTGAGCCAAGATCACGCCACTGCACTCCAGACTGGTGCCTGGAGACAGAGCAAGACTCCATCTCAAAAAAATAATAATAAGGCCGGGCACGGTGGCTCAAACCTGTAATCCTACCATTTTGGGAGGCCGAGGTGGGTGGATCACCTGAGGTCAGGAGTTCAAGACCAGCCTGGTCATCATGGTGAAACCCCATCTTTAAAAATAATAATAGGGCCGGACGCGGTGGCTCACGCCTGTAATCCCAGCACTTTGGGAGGCTGAGGAGGGTGGATCACGAGGTCAAGAGATTGAGACCATCTTGGCCAACATAGTGAAACCCTATCTCTACTAAAAATGCAAAAAATTAGCCGGACGTGGTGGCACAAGCCTGTAATCCCAGCTACTCAGGAGGCTGAGGCAGGAGAATTGCTTGAACCCAGGAGGCGGAGGTTGCGGTGAGCCGAGAATGCGCCATTGCACTCCAGCCTGGGCAACAAGAGCGAAACTCCGTCTCAAAAAATAATAATAATATAATAATAATAATAATAAATAAACCCCTACTTTTAGTGATGAGCCATAGTGGCATTTTGGATCCTCAGATATTGGCATTAATTCAGAACCAATATCTAGGTATCCTCAAAAGATCTGGGTATTTTCTTCTCCCTGATGCACAATTACTCTAGTAAACAAGGCATAATAGTTCCTGTCTCTGGGAGAACCAACCTTCTCTCCAATTAAGTGACTTGGGATCTATACTTGTGAATTCGTTATCCACAATCATGACAGTGAATGTAAGCATCACCCAGAAGTCTCCTTGTGACTGTAATCTTTCCCACCTGCCCCTCTCTGACCCCTCATCCCCAAGAAACCACTGATCTGCTTTCTGTCACTAGAGGTTGATTTTTCTTTTCTTTTCTTTTTTTTTTTTTGAGACTGAGTTTTGCTTTGTCACCCAGGCTGCAGTGCTGTGGTGCGATCTTGGCTCACTGCAACCTCCACCTTCTGGGTTCAAGCAGTTCTCCTGCCTCAGCCTTCCCAGTAGCTGGGACTACAGGCGCATGCCACCACTCAGAGTTGCTTTTTGTATTTTTAGCAGAGACGGGGTTTCACCATGTTGACCAGGCTGTGGTCTTAAACTCCTGACCTTAGGTGATCCACCTGCCTTGGCCTCCCAAAGTGCTGGGATTACAGGTGTGAGCCACCGTGCCTGACCTGTGTTTTCTTTTTTTTCTTTTTTGAGACTGAATTTTGCTCTTGTCACCCAGGCTGGAGTGCAATGGCGAAACCTCGGCTCACTGCAACCTCCACCTCCCAGGTTCAAGTGATTTTCCTGCCTCAGCCTCCCAAGTAGCTGGGATTACAGGCGTCCACCACCATGCCCAAGTAATTTTTATATTTTTAGTAGAGACAGGGTTTTATTAAGTTTGTCAGGCTGGTCTCAAACTCCTGACCTCAGGTGATCCACCTGCCTTGGCCTCCCGAAGTGCTGGGATTACAGGCATGAGTCACCATGCCTGGCCTGATTTGCATTTTCTAGAGCAGGGGTTGGCAAATGTTTTTTGTAAAGGGCCAAATCGTAAATATTTTAGGTGTTGTAGGACAACAGATAAAAAATTAGTATATTATGTAGGTATTTCCATAATGAGAGAAAACACATTTTTTAAACATTATTTTATTGTATTTTGCATAACAAGTTTATTTTTTTAAGGCCTATAGACAATAAACAAAGTAAATAATCAGATCTTAACTTCTGTCCTAGAATTGGTCTGTTAAGTTCTAGTCTGTGAGGACTTTTAGTTCAATAATCGTCATCTTCATCAGAGTCCATTACCTTTCTTTTGTTGAATTTCACTGTTGTTGTCTTTTCTGTTTGCTGGCTTACTTTTTTAAGGATTTCTATTAAACCTTGTTCTGATACCTTCTCATTATTTGTCCATATCATCCCATCTGTATAAGGTAATTCTCCACTGCTTTAGTTTTTTCAGACTTTACAAGTGCCCAGTTACTTAACCTGGCCCGGGCTGACTGATCCAGTACTTGGGCTAATATACTGTTTCTCATTTCTGCTTCCCTGTGCTTTGCTTCCTGTTGGGCTGCATCGCCAGGATCCCCGTGCTTGGCCTGCAGCTCGGCCAGCCTCTGCCTCCTCAGCACCTCCAGCTCCTCTTCCGCCATGGGGCGTCGTCCGTGGTGGAGTGGCCGTGGTCACTCAGCAGACCCCGGGCGCGAGCACGGCTCTGACCCTTTATTTTATTTTATTTTTATTTTTATTTTTTGAGACAGAGTGTCGCTCTTGTTACCCAGGCTGGAGTGCAATGGCGCAATCTCGGCTCACCGCAACCTCCGCCTCCTGGGTTCAGGCAATTCTCCTGCCTCAGCCTTCTGAGTAGCTGGGATTACAGGCACGTGCCACCATGCCCAGCTAATTTTTTGTATTTTTAGTAGAGACGGGGTTTCACCATGTTGACCAGGATGGTCTCGATCTCTTGACCTCATGATCTACTCACCTCGGCCTCCCAAAGTGCTGGGGTTACAGGCTTGAGCCACCACGCCTGGCCCCCTTTATTTTATTTTTAATGGATGAGAGGTTTATGCGTTTTTCAGACTGGCCTCGAATGCCTGACCTCACTTCCTCATGCGCCAGGACAATTGGCCTCAGCCACTGTGGATCCCAGGAAAACACTTTTTATTGTTGAAATTAGAAGTATAATAATTGAGTATAATGTTTAAAATACAGGTCTATTAAAGAGAATAAAGGAATTCATTTTACTTCATTGGGGTTCAACGTTGGGGGGTACAGTGGCTCATGCCTGTAATCCCAGCACTTTGGGAGGCAGAAGAGGGCAGATCACTTGAGGCCAGGAGTTTGAGACCAGCCTGATCAAATGGCAAAAACAAGTTTCTACTAAAAATAAAAAAAATAGCCAGGCATAGTGGGACATGCCTGTAATCCCAGCTACTGGGGAGTCTGAGGCACGAGAATCACTTGAACTCAGGAGGCAGAGGTGGCAGTGAGTGGAGATCACACCACTGCATTCCTACCTGGGTGACAGAGTGAGACTATCAAAGAAAAAAAAAGAACAAAGTTAGTGTTACCTATCATCCTACGACAAATGTTTATCTGTTAATTCTAATCTGTAATGACATTGTGCAAAAATAGGTTTTCCTGCAGGTAGGTATTGCCAAATACAGATAGCAATCCACAAGCATATGATGTCATGTGCACATTCATCATTTGAAAGGCATTTATAGGCCAGGCGCGGTGGCTCAAGCCTGTAATCCCAGCACTTTGGGAGGCCGAGGCAGGTGGATCACGAGGTCAAGAGATCGAGACCATCCTGGTCAACATGGTGAAACCCCATCGCTACTAAAAATACAAAAAATCAGCTGGGCATGGTGGTGCCTGCCTGTAATCCCAGCTACTCAGGAGGCTGAGGCAGGAGAATTGCCTGAACCCAGGAGGCGGAGGTTGCGGTGAGCCGAGATCGCACCATTGCACTCCAGCCTGGGTAACAAGAGCAAAACTCCGTCTCAAAAAAAAAAAAAGAAAGAAAAAGAAAAAAGAAAGACATTTATAGAATTCTATTTGGATTCTGGCCAGGTGCAGTGGCTCATTTAATCCCAGCACTTTGGGAAGCCAAGATGGAGCACTTGAGGCCAGGAGTTCCAGACCAGCCTAGGCAACATGGTGAAACCTCCATCTCTACTGAAAAAAAAAAAAAAGCTAGTTGCCAAAGCCTCTCAGTGTTTCATAGCAGTGGTTACGTGTGGTTCTCTTATTTAGAAAAATTTCAGGCTGTGCGCGGTGGCTCAAGCCTGTAATCCTAGCACTTTGGGAGGCCGAGGCGGGTGGATCACGAGGTCGAGAGATCGAGACCATCCTGGTCAACATGGTGAAACCCCGTCTCTACTAAAAATACAAAAATTAGCTGGGCTTAGTGGCATGCGCCTGTAATCCCAGCTACTCAGGAGGCTGAGGCAGGAGAATTGCCTGAACCCAGGAGGCGGAGGTTGCGGTGAGCCGAGACCACGCCATTGCACTCCAGCCTGGGTAACAAGAGTGAAACTCCGTCTCAAAAAAAAAAAAAAAAAGAAAAATTTCAGGCCGAGGCCAGGAGCGGTGGCTCATCCTGTAATCTCAGCACTTTCAGAGGCCAAGGTGGGCGGATCACCTGAGGTCAGGAGTTCAAGACTAGCCAGGCCAACATGGTGAAACCCTGTCTTTAAAAAAAAAAAAAGAAAAATTTCAGACCGGGTACAGTGGCTCATGCCTGTAATACCACCACTCTGGGAGGCCAAGATAGGTAGATTACGTGAGGTCAGGAGTTAGAGACCAGCTTGGTCAACATGCTGAAGCCCTGTCTCTACTAAAAATACAGAAAAAAAAAGGCCGGTCCGAGTGCAGTGGTGTTTACAACTAATTGATCACAACCAGTTACAGATTTCTTTGTTCCTTCTCCACTCCCACTGCTTCACTTGACTAGCCTTAAAATAAATAAATAAATAAATAAATAAATAAAAATACAAAAAAATTAGCCAGGTGTGGTGGTGGGCACCTGTAATCCCAGATACTTGGGAGGTGGGGCAGGAGAATTGCTTGAACCTGGGAGGCAGAGGTTGCAGTGAGCCGAGATTGCATCACTGCACTCCAGCCTGGGTTGACAGAACGAGACTCAGTGTCAAAAAAACAGGGGGGGGAGGGGAGAAAAAAAAATTTCAATCTCAGCCCAGAGTTCAAATATATATATATATATATATATATAGCTGTGTGGGTGGCTCATACATGTAATCCCAGCACTTTGGGAGGCCAATGCAGGCTCCTTGAGCCCCGGAGTTCAAGACCAGCCTGGGTCATATGGAAAAACCCTGTCTTTATTAAAAAAAAAAAAAAAAAAAAGTGCAAAAATTAGCCAGGCATGGTGGGACATGCCTGTAATCCCAGTTACTCAGGAGGCTAAGGGGGAAGGGTCGCTTGAGCACAAGAGGTGGAGGTTGCACCACTGCACTCCAGCCTGAGTGACAGACTGAGACCCTGTCTCAAAAAAACAAAACAAAACAAAAACACAATATTTAGCACTGCCAAGACATCAAACTGCTGTATGACACAGCGAGCCAGGATATCCAGCTTTTATTTCTAACAAAGATTCATGGAGCTGTTGGCGGCTAAGTCCACCTGAGTAAATGAAGTTTGTAATTGACAGTACTGGTTTAATATCTTTCTTCTCTTTTCTTTTTCTTTCTTTCTTTTTTTTTTTTTTCTTTTTTTTTTTTTTTTTTTTTGAGACAGAGTCTCACTCTGTTGCCCAGGCTGGAGTGCAGTGGTGCAATCTTGGCTCACTGCAACCCTCAACTTCCAGGTTCAATCGATTCTCCTGCCTCAGCCTCCTAAGTAGCTGGGATTACAGGCACCTGCCACCATGCCTGGCTAATTTTTGTATTTTTAATAGAGATGGGGTTTCACCATGTTGGACCAGGCTGGTCTTGAACTCCTGGCCTCAGGTGATTCGCCCGCCTTGGACTCCCAAAGTGCTGGGATTATAGGCATGAACCACTGCTCCCGGCCCTGGCTCAATATCTTATGACAGATTCAAAAATGTCTGCAAAGTACCTGCTGATTAATCATACAGTTAATAACCATAGGCTTTAAACACCTTACATTGGCTGGGCGCAGTGGCTCACACCTATAATCCCAGCACTTTGGGAAGCTGAGGCGGGTGGATCACAAGGTCAAGAGATTGAAACCATCCTGGCCAACATGGTGAAACCCGTTTCTCCTTCTTGGAAGTAAGATTCCGCCTTACAATTACGTTCCTGTTTTCCATCTTCAGCAAAATAAATTTTTTGGCTACAAAAAATAATCGATACTTTCAGGGTTGCCCTGGTAATCTCTCTGGTTCCCAGATTGTGTCATGCTCTGAGAGTTTAAGAACCTGAGCTTGTCATTTTCTTTCTGGAAGTGACACAGTGCACTGAAAAGAATCCATCTCATGCCACGGCCTTTACAGTCACGGTTATTGACGTCACAGTCAAGTACAGCAGCCACTTGGGCTCCCAGGCCATGCGCTGGAGTTGGTACTTCATAAAGACAAGCCGCAGGCGACAATCTGATTAACTCCATGCCACAGCACATCACAGTTTACTAACGTCCCAGTTCCCACTGCCTTGGAGCTCAGACAAAGCTCAAACCCAAGGGCATGGACAAAGCAGTCCCCAGATGCTAACCTTGTGCATCTATCTATAAGCACCCCTTGAGTACCAATGCTACATCGTCGGGATCCCATCACAAGGTGGAAACCACTCTGTCATTTAAACAGGGAAGTTTTAACAGAACAATGAACTACTTACAGGGGATTGCAACTAAGTGTGAATCAAAGAGAACTCTAAAAAACACCCATAGGGCCAGGTGCGGTGGCTCACACCTATAATCCCAACACTTTGGGAGGTCGAGGAGGGCAGATCATGAGTTCAGAAGTTCGAGACCAGCCTGGCCATCATAGTGAAACCCAGTCTCTACTAAAAATACAAAAATTATCTGGGTGTGGTGGCACGTGCCTGTAGTCCCAGCTACTCGGGAGGCTGAGGCAGAATTGCTCGAACCCGGGAGGTGGAGGTTGCAGTGAGTCGAGATTGTGCCACTACACTCCAGCTAGGGCAACAGAGCTAGATTCCATCTAAAAACAAACAAACAAATAAAAAACCACATACACACAAAAAAACACCTGAAGGGTGAGAGAGAGAGCCCAGAAAAAGAACAAACCTGGAAAGGGGTAGCCTCCTTAAGGCTGGGGCTCCGACCTCACTGGAGAGAGGTGACTGCAGCCCATTGGACGGTGAGGTTGGCTGGGTTGCCCGTCACAGCTGGTCCACAACCAGCCAGCTGAGGCTTGTGGCCAGGTGACCACAAGCAGACACCCCTTCCCCCGGGGTGCTGGAGTGCCAAGGTTGTCAGGTGGGGAACCACGCAGTGGGGCTGGCAGGCAGAAAGCTGAATGCCACTGTCACGGCTGCCTGTCACATGGGCAAGAGAGAGGAGGAACCAGGACAAGCCCCTTCCTCCTGTAATGTCCCTCCAGCGCCCTCTACTGGCAAGGAAGAAATGTTTGCCAGTTCCGCATCTGGTAGCAAGCAGTGCAATGAATGGATTTGGAGCTCAGAAGCAACAGATAGAAAACGGGCACTGGTATGTGCTCATGGTTAAAAAAAAGGAAAAGGCTAGTTTTTTTTTCTGTTTCTTTCTCTTATTATTATTACAGGTATTGATCG